AGGATATGCAACCTAGGAGTCCAGACTTTAATCCCAGTGAGAAGTTTAGGGATTTAACACTGTATTGATGATGGACTTAACACAGTCCATCATCAATACAGCATTCAAGTGATATTAGGACATTACCTGAGCTCATCTAAATTATATCACTGCAATGTTCAGGTCGTGTATATACCATACTCCAAACCCATGTATACCTTTGTATTTAAGTTATAGCCCTCTCACAAGATGTGTGACCTGATTTTTGACTGCATTTCTGAAACAGCAACAATCAACCTGACCTAATTTTGAGAGGACAAAACCCGTTATCACTTTATCATTTAGTTGTTCCTAAGGTTGATTGTTGTTTGACAACATACTAAAGATGAAATGTTAAATGAATTTGGTGCTATATATTGTTTGTTTTTCACATTTACAATTTAAACCATAAACCTTAATTTCAAATCTCTCTGCATACATACGATCGAGGGCTTCTTCTGGCTAAGAAGTGGTAAAAAAAAAAAGTCTTCTAAAGCTGATAATGTGCCCGTTTTCATGCACAGGAGATGCAAGATGGGGGGACTCTGGTAATGGTGGCCACTGATAAACAACCCAGCAGCATGCGTAGGAGAGTATGTGATGAAAGGAATCAGGGAAAGAGTTAGGCCAAGCAGCAGCAGACGAAGGTAATTAAAGAAGCCATCATCAGCATCATTAATATGCTAGATCTGCTGTGGCCCACTGACTAGTCTAATGGAGAACATGTCATCATCGTCACCATTAGGGAGAGCAGGGCACACACAAACACACACAGACACACACACACACACTCTTAATGTTGGGTCACACTATGATTACCACCATTAAGCCTATAGTGAGAGGGTCTGCTTTGGAAGCAGCATTCTCTTTGCCATCTTGCATACACATGCACTACTACAACACACACACACACACACACACACACGCGCAGGCGGTTGTAGATCTTTAATTCAGACCATCTGACTGATAAGTATGCATATTTAAGTGATGTCAGGCCTACTGGGTCTTTTAATTAGACAGAATGAATGAATGTTTTATAAAAACGTGTTTAACAATAAATGTGTTCATTAATTTGATGAGAGGATGTGCTCTGATGAGCTGAGTGGAATGGAGTAATGGTTCAGATTCAGCACTTTTGATTTGATGACGGGAGACGCAAAAAACCGCGCTAGCTGTTTTTTTTATTTTTTATTTCATACTCATTTTCGTTTTGCTCTCTTTACCCCCCAAAAAGTCACCTAAGTCATAGCTGATGTGTATCCATGATGTTGGTCAAACTGGTTTGAGAATGCTGTTAATGCGCAATACCACTGGACACTAGATGGAAACCCATTAACTGCAGCAAAGTCCCTACCATTACTTTTTTTTCTTTTCTTTTGTTAATCTCAAGGTTAGGGCGGTACGGTGGTGTGGTGGTTAGCACTGTCGCCTCCCAGCAAGAGGGTTCTGGGTTCGAATCCCGGGGGAACCAGGACCTTTCTGGGTGGAGTTTGCATGTTCTCCCTGTGTCTGCGTGGGTTCTCTCCGGGTTCTCCGGCTTCCTCCCACAGTCCAAAAAAAAACCTGCATGTTAGGCTGATTGGAGATTGGGGAAATTGCCCTTAGGAGTGAATGTGAGTGTGAATGGTTGTTTGTCCTGTGTGTGGCCCTGCGATGGACTGGCGGACTGTCCAGGGTGTACCCTGCCTCTCGTCCGTTGACCACTGGGATAGGCTCCAGTTCCCCCCGCGACCCCATCAGGGAATAAGCGGTATTGATAATGGATGGATGGATGGAATCTCAAGGTTTGCTTTGCAGTATGTCCATGTAGTTCATTCTCATGTATAAGTTCAGCAAATAGAATAAAAAATTAGGTTGATCCAGAAAGTCTGTCTTGTATTCATGGGTTTTGTAGAGTGAGGCCTGTGGACTCGACTCAAACCTGATGAGGCTGAGCTGGAATCAAAACTGTAACTATATGCGCCGCGGTCGTAAAAATACCAAATCTTTCGCCAGCACGGCAGAAGTCAACTCACATTCTGCAGCGTAAAGCTGAAGGGACGAGTGGTATCACCAAACTTGGTTATAAATGCGTTTTTGTTGCCCCTTTTAGCCCCCCATCATCTGCTAAAATATTTGTGCAACAAAACCAATCTAAATGTTAAGCAGGTGCGTTACCTTACTCCTCCCCCCATCTCGCGGTCGCACCTCCCCTGTCCCATTCCGTTTTTTCTCTAAATGTCTTGTCCCTCTTGCGCACTGCCGGCCCCCTCTTTCTCACACACTCCTTCCCTGCCTCCTCCCCTGACACTGGTGGAAACAGAGTGATGATGTGTAATTTAGTCCTAATCACAACATCAGACTTGTGCTACGATTTACATCCCTTCACCAGCAGAGCCAGTCAGACAGTCAGGAGGGAGATGTTAATGTGAGACCACAGGTAATTACTGTCATTACAGCAGTGTGTGTGCGGCCGTGTGCGTGTGTATGGTTTGGTTTTTGACAGGCACCGTGTGCAGACAACTTGTAAGTGCCTTTTTTTTTCCAAATCTTTTGGTTTTTCTTTTTTTCTGAATGGTTACATTTGATGTGTTTTTGTGCATTAATGCACTTAAAATTGAATTCTCAAAATAAAATCTTTTGTGTAAAGATTTGTCAGTGTTTGAGACAAAGCAAATTAAATCACCAACTGTGGAGTACTCACAATATTTAGAAATGGAATTAGAATTGATACCCTGACTCAGTTAATCCTTTAAAACTGTCGTGATTTTTTTTTGTGTAATTTCATTGCCCTCGTCTTTTTTTTTTTCTTCTGTCAATTCTTGTTTTCTGAAATACAACCCTCTCTATGATCCAAATCAAAAGTCTAATTCCTCATCACTCTATGACCTTTGAATTGTTGTCACTGTCATTGTCACAACTTGATTTCATGCGTGACGATAACAGTCCCTTCAAAAGGAATCACATGCAGGGTTTTGCATTATTCAAAAGAAAACCACGAGGATTCCGAGTACTGAAACTCTTCACAGAGACCATTTATTTTTCACATGCAAGTGAACACACAGTTGTTATCGGCTCTTAACTCGCCTCCCAAAGCTTGTATTGTTCAGATATTGTTCGATATATATTATCTATAAACTTGTAGTCTCAGGGCACTAAAACATGGCACGTATGCATTGTTTGTCATGTCAAAAAATATCTTTATGTTTAAGCCTAAGCAGCGCAGGGGGGGCTTTGTTTTTCAGCTATGAGTTATCAGAATCTGCCTTTTATAGTGTAAGAATCTTACATTTAGGTTTGCCAAGTCTTCCAGGATAACAGCAACGGGAAAATATAGTTTTTTTTCCTTTTTCGTGGAATTCAAAGTACACACACAGACATGCACACACATGGACATCATCTCGGTGCAGCGGATGATATTTTTGACATTTTGGGTTAATCATTGACGTTTTTATGTGCTTAAATTATTGCCCACATGTGGGAAAGTTTTTCTATGTCTTTGTGGGAAGATGGGAAGGTATATCAAGGTGTTTCTATGGCGATAAGGGTAATATGTCAGGGTCCCCAGAGTTTAGGCCTGGAAAGGTCCTGACTGATAAGCAGAATGAAAAAGTCAGCAGTTTGGCCAGTGCCATCCAGTTACTGTTTTTCCAATCTTGTCCTGGCTCTGCTTCTGCTCTGTGCTATCCACCATCTTTCCCTCCTCATGACTGATACCTCACCTTGCTATTTATACCTGCATCTGCAAATGCCACCTCATTCATTCCCCATTATTCCTCATTTACCCCGTTTCTCCTAATGTCTCTATTATTACCTTGTTTTTGACATTTATATCCACTTCCCTCTATGCCTCACTGTCAGAGGCTCACTGCTCACTCTGTTTTTCACCATACCTTTTTCCCTACCCTTTTATGACCATTCTTCATTGACCCTACACTCCCCTTCACACGATATTTACCATGAAAATAACATCTTTTTCCAACTAAAAATGGTCAAAGTTATACACAGAGTTTGTATTAAAGTCAGTCAATAATTAAATGGGCTTAAAACTTGAATAAATTGCAAGAAAAAAAAGAAAAAAACTGATAAATCAATCCACTTAATTTGGTTCAACTATTCGTAATCTGAACGCTTATTTAATACACAGGTTAAGACACTGCAGTCGGAGCTGGAGGGGGCACGGTTGGACAATGCCAAACTCCGCCATGAGAGCCAGCAGGTCATTACAAACATCAACGTGTGGATCACTAAACTAAAGTATGACAGTATGATTCCACTCTAAACATTTTTTTTTCTTTTGATTTATTTATTTTCTATATTAAGATCAATATTAACAGTACTTAATTTACTTAATAGGGTATTACAGTGTTACCTTTATGTTTTATGTTATGTTTTATTCTCTTTAAGGTCAGACAATCCATATATATATATATATATATACGTATAAATGTATATTCTGTCCAGCATTCCAGTTTCTTTACTTGATTCCCTTACCTTTTCCAGTGCTTCTCGGGAGAGCCTCACCCAACAGATGGAGGCCCAAAACATGATGATGCTCGTCTTCAGTGAAGAGAAGGAGTATGTGCCGCACACAACAGAGAGCAGAATTTAGTGTCTAAACCCTTCAGAGCAGTTTTCTTCCCAGAAGTTAAAGTTATCAGAAAAGGGGTCGGTTTGTGATTAGAGTCTGTGTGTAATCGTATGTTTTTGTTTGTGTCGTAGAAGATTCACGTTTGCTCTGACGTGTATGCCACTGACAGGGTTTCCTCGTGTCTGTATTGCTGGGACTCAGACACACACACACACACACACACACACACACACACACACACACAGACGTCTGCGCAGACATGGGTGTGACTTATTCTTCTTCCCAGAGATCAAAGCAGTCTAGCCATCCTCTGTTATCCCTGCCCCCTACAGTGACATGCATCCTTCTTCTCCACCCAGCCGAATCCGGACCGCATGTATATCTGCTCTTTAGTACATTCTGAGACAGAGAGGTGTTTTGTTTTTTATGATTTTGTTTAGATGACATAGACAATAGACCTTCTGTATGTGGAACACATTAGTGCTGGGTCTCATTTCTTTATACATCATTGAATGCTTACATTAAATCTTTAAGGGAATATCTAAATCCACTTCCACAAATAAAACAATTTCAAAATTATCAATAGTGCTGGAGTCTCTGACTTAACAAGGTACTGGATTCATATCTGAAATGGCTGTAGAAAAAAATAATTTAGCAGTAGCAACACATAATATCTCTGTGCATAAGCAACCATAATAGCTTAGCATCCAGTTAAAAGCTTCTCTGGAAAGAGGAATGTAGGCCCCGGTGCAGTTGTGTAGCAAAAAAAAGAAAATCTGATTTGTTAACAAGAGCCTCTTGATGATAATAGGTGTCTGTCGTAGCATGCTTCTCTGTTTAGCTCTGCCTCTGCATCTTCCCCATTCGTCAGACATCTTCAGGAGGCTAATGACACGTTGAAGGCAGAGGTAAAGAGACTGAAAGAAGCGGTGGATGAAAAGGAACGAGATATGGAGCGCTTCAAGGTGAACAAGTGCAGAGGGGCAAAGCAGTGAACTACAAACGCAGACAAAAAGAGTAGATCACAAACAAGTTTGTTTTTCCTTTTTCTAATTGTTTACAGGCCCAGATCGGAGACTGGGGCATCCGGCAAGATGGGAAAAAGTGAGTCATCTACATGTGTGTGGTGTGAGAGAGAGAGAGTGTGAGAGAGAGAAAGAGAGAGAGGTAGAGAGAGCATGTCAGTGCATACATTTGTGTGCATTCAACAGCTGATCAAAGTTAAGCATTCACGTACAACAAAAGCGGTGCCCACCATGTTTTGCTCTTTCACACACAATCTAGCCTGAACAAAGCTGATGATGATAATAACAGCAGGAGTGCCAAGTTGTGAATGAAACACCCTGTGGGCCTGGACCACCTGTGTGTACTTTTGTGAGTGCGTGTGTGTGTGTGTGTGTGCATGCATGTGTACGCGTTATGTCTCTTCTTTAATCTGAATACGTTATTCACGCTGAGCCTTTAACAATGATTACACTCCAATCAAGGGCCTATCCTCTCCTGCTTGCCACCCCCATGGCTGTCAAATATCATTCATCAATAGAGCGGAGATATATTTATTATGTTCATTAAGGCAATGGAAATGAATGTGGCCCAGATGGGATTGGGTGTAGGATGGAAGTGGGAAATGGATGGTGTGTGCATATGGCAAAGGGTATTTGTATGGGCACCTGCCTACAGAAGTACCACTCATACTGTCGGCCTACCCACCCCCCCCCAAGATATTCCTCATTAACACCCCTACCAAAACATACCCCCATTTTACACACGTGCACCCCTTTATGTTTCCCCCCTCCCTTGACGAACCACCAAGCTCTGTTTCCAAAACGGATCAGATTTGTTTTGACTGGGGTAGGTTCCCCATGCTATTCAAAGCTGTCAGTCATTTTAATGATATCATTAAGGGGCCGCGACAGAAAGATGAATCGCTTTTCTTTGTCTTTCCCTCATAATTGCGAATGAACAAGAGAGTGGGGCCGAGTGAGAGAGGCAGTTCTTATAGGCGTACGCATGAGAGAGGTTTTGATTGAGTGAATATAATAACGCGGAACAAGATAAAAACAGTGAATAAAAGCATCTTCCATAGTGTCTCCCCATCCATTCTATCTGCTCTCCTTTTTTCTCTGGTCTCTTCTTTATTATGAGAATTCTTAATTTATTTCATTCTGTTATTAGACACCCCCACACGCAGACTCACCCAAAATGCCATATATATGAGAATCATACGTCTGTATGGAAAATGGTGTCATAGTATTTGCATGGCAGACCTTATATGTTATGTGTGTGTATGTCATCACTGGTGGCAAAAAGTATATCTTAAAAGTGTCTCTGCTCGCTTTCAGTCAGCAGGTTGTGAAGGTTTTGTCACGAGATGTACTTATATTAAAGACATTTACCATGATTACATGGCTTACAGTTCCAGTTTTTACAAATAGAAACATAGGAAAGAAGTTTTTTTTTTTTTTTTTTAAAGCAAATGGAGGGAACAGAAATGGCATTAGACGGATTATTTTATCAAAAAGCTAATAATAATAGATGCATTTCAACGAACAGCAGCCAGAGCTCAAATGGCCTGGGCGCCTCTTTCTTTTTTTTTGAGGAACGAAAAGATTATTTCAGCTCTGAGTCTGTTACATTTTCACTGAGGTCTAAGTTCATGGTAGAATTGGCAAATTAAGTCCCCTGGAGTGTGTCGCTCCACCCAGACGGGGCTCGCTGGAGTGTCAGCGCTGCCACCCAAAGCTTACAGTAAAAAGCAGGAACTTTGCCTTTTTTCACTTAAAATCTGTCCGTGTTACACACTTTACATAAATATATGCCGCACACTTTTTTTGATAGGCGTGAACTCTGGGAAATTGATGAGATTGACATTTCCTTTAGCTCTAATTTCAGCTCCTTTATGCCACAAACAGAACAACTCCTCCAGCCAATCTCCGATTCTACTCCCCCCCCTCACTCTTCAAGAGAAACATTAGGGAGCACATGTCCTCTTGTTTACAGTCATTTAATGTCACTCATTATTTTATTTAGGTATTTTACAACTGTGATGTTGTGTCACCATGCTAACTGGTTAGATATTTCTGTCTCTGATTGACATGCTTTCTTATAACAGAGTGCTTGAGCTTAAAATGGCAGAAATGTGAAAGTAACATTCTGAAAATACTGAGTGCTACAAGCAATTGCCCAACAGTTTAGCATATTCTCTTAAGAACAACCTTCCTACCTTTTTTCTGGATTTGTTAACACCCTGATTCCTGCAGACAAAACAGCCCCTTTTAAGATACGTGTACCTGAAAAATGTAAATGTAGCTCATTTTATATTTAAGGCTAAACTATGCCTTACGGGTGTTTCCCCCTTTACTTGGTGTCAACCAGTAAAAGGCAAACAAATTTGCATGAACTCAAGGCCCATGCCAACAAGTGTCCCTCACCGCCTGATATTCTCCATTGGCAGTTCTTTTTCTTCATTTCTGTTACTTGTTAAAGTCACCATGCAACATATTTGCATAATTCCTGCCCAGTGGCAAATTTGGCCATCTCTAAAACAAAACTAGATCAGAGAAGGGGAAAAAAAAAAAGAAAAATTGCATGTTGAGGAAAAACTTCATCAAAAGATGAAGTGGGAACAGCAAAGTGAATAATGAGCTCAAAATGTGTGTTTTACCACCATCGCTCAGCAGTACAACCACAACCTTTTTTCCTTTTTTTTTCTCCTTTTATTTTAATCAAATATTTAGACAGAGTTTAGAGCAGACTGGGCTTTCAGGAAGGAGTGAACAGCTAGATTTTCCACCTCTGAGCAAACGATCTTCCAAAGAGAAATGCCTCCCGCAATGATGAGGAGAGAGGCAGTTTGAATTTACACTTTTTCATCCGATATGGAAAAGTCCACGAGTTCAGAAAAAAAAAAGAGAATCAATCATTTGTGTACGCTGGAGAGTAAAAAGTTAATTTCATGGTGAGTATGTAGCTCAGGAGGTAGAGCGGATAATTCTTTATCCACAGTTGATGTTTGATTCCTCTCTCTTCCTCTGTTGGTCAGAGTATCCTGAACATTTTCCCTGGTAAGATCCACCAGTTGGCAGGGAGACGAAATCTAAATCCAATTGTTCATTAAGGTATAAGCGCCCTTCTTTTGCTACAGAATCCTTTTAATAGTAATGTGTACTCATTGTTGCCATTACTGCGAAAAAAAAGGAAAGAAGGAACATCTGGATGGCAAAAACTCCTGATTACACTGTAAAAGAACCATTTGGTCATTGTCATGTTGTCGAAGGTTTCTACATGGGAAAACATAGGATACGTTTCATACTGCAAAAATATATCCTGTCACATGATGTCTTTTTTTTCATCTGGAAAGCAGTGCAGGCAAGAAGCTGTTTAGAAATCTTAAAGGACTACAGAACAAAAAAGAAAAAAAAAATTCAATTATCTTACAGGAAATTATTCTCTAATATCAATTTCATTAAATGCTTTTTAAAAAGGCTATCCACATATCACCTCAAGTATATTAAAAGCCCTCTGAAAATATTAAAAGCAATTCACACACACTCCGAAACGCGCACTGGAGTGATGGAGGGCAGAGATTGATGCTGCTTGCTTGTGGCAACATTGACTCGGCGGCTGTCTGACGGCGTCCCCATCTGGGGGGGCGCGCTCGTAAAGCACCGGGCCTCATCACTCGCACCGCTAACGACGTGCTTCCAATTAACAGCTCCCACTGATCACAGCGGAGGATCCACACAAACACGGGGGGGGGGGGAAAGCAAAGTGACAGAGGGAACCCGGAGAGGCGATAAGAAAAAAAAAAGGGGGCTGTGTGTGAGAACTACACAGTACAAGTCTTGCATTAAAATTTACAGCAAAATGAGAGCAGTAAATAAGAAAGATGAGTGTGTGACTGGAGCGAGAGAGAGAGAAGCCGCGTAGTTTATTGCCCGGTTTAGAGAGCATGGCCGCTTGGCTTTGACACTAATGACTGTAATTATACACACGCTGATTGGGTTAGGCCGCTAATTACACTCATCTGTGTTTGCGTGTAAACACGGGGACATATGTTTACACGGGCGCCACGCCAGGCGCTCGGCGCATCGCCGCTCTCTCACATGGAGTGCATAAATCTCACACACTTGTCTAAGCAGCGGTGATGATTCACGATCTGCTGAAGACCCACATTACCATCCAGAAAAGAGTTTAAATCATTTGAAGAATCCGTAGAGTTGTGGTGCTTTGGGGTTTTTATGGCGCTGGCGTGTGTTTAAAGTTTATATCCTGCTGTTTTTTTCCCCCTCGCTGCAGCAAACGGAAAGCCATGGAACTCATCTTTAAAATGTCACTTACAATTTTAAAAGATCAAAGCGAATTTCGGCATTTCTCTCATTAATGCCCTTTGTGTCATCATTATGGTGTGAAATTAAAAGATCTGCAAGGGGTCAGTTGCAATTATCTTCAGTTTGTAAATGTCACATTCGGAAAATGAGGTCCCTTTAAATATGTGTGGATGGGACGAACTAAGTTTGTTTGTGATTTTTAAAAACAAGCAACGATTCGGGAGATTGGAAGTCATCTGGTGCATGTATGGATTTTTTTTCTTTTGGCATATGTTTGGATTTTGTTGTTCTCATTGGTACGAACCAACCAAAAGTACACCCGGTAGCACATCCAGATATGTCTTTGTGTTTTATTGCCTGTCATTAAATTGTGACTTTGGCTCATGGGTTCTGTGCTTCTCATCTTCTCAGAGAAATATTTACTGCAGTTCTTTAGACGTCTGCTGGAAACTAAAGTTGTGCAATATTTCAAGCCAACATGGTGTCTTTCTAAAAGTATCAACGACATTGTTATAATAATATGCTAATTCACAGATTTGTGCAACATTTCTACCATCAGTGTTTGTTTCATTGACATGTAGCAAAATTCATTGTAGGTCGTGTATTCAAGGGGCCGAGCGAATTTCATGAACTTCTTGCAGAAGAATGTCAGTTCACGTTGCTTCTCCCAAGTATTTCCCCTTATTATAAATGATTAAAGTATCAGCAAATAGGGCCAAAAGTTCTGAGTGTGCGTCTCCGCACCCCCACCACATCTTCAGGAACAATAATGCCATTTATTAGCGTTTCAATGAGCACATGCATCTTTTCAACTGAAGCAAAACGGGACTGTCTTCCCTTCCGCTCCTATGATAGAAAATCCCAGCTTGCTATTTTACTAGAAAATTAACATAGGGGAGGTACAGTGGTACTTTAATGGGCTAAGAAGTCTTCAATAAAGTATTTAGAAGGTTTTTCCAAATGCTAACTGGACAGGTTCATTGGGGCATGAAAGAAAGAGCGTAAAGCGGGGGCAGCAAGCTCCTCAGCTCGCACAGAGCACCATTATCCACCGTCGTTAATTTAATAGTCATTCCTTAGTCAGCCCTGGGTCTGAAGATACGAGACCCTAACATTTGTTTGTCATTTCCCTAAACAGTTTTAATAAACATTTAAAATCTTAAATGGCTTCTTGTACTCTTAATGTTCCCTGGCTGCGCTCGCGTTTATGTTTTTATTTATTTTTTTCCCCTCCTTTTATATGCACATTCTTATATGATTTAATGATTTCTGGAAGCCATTTGCTCACCCATCTTTGAGTTTAGTAATAAGTTATAATGACGATGTTTATAATGAAGATGATGTATGCCAACTTTTTCTTTTGTTTATGACCTAGATTTCTAGGGACTGCTTCGCGAATGCGTATCAGTGTAAGAAAAATAGGTAAACCGAAGTGTCAACTTATGCCTCTCAGACAAAAGTACACATGAACACATGTGAAGTTTTTATTTTTCTGCTTTCCACAACTAAAGAAATCTATCATGGTCCAAAGTTGATTTGATGTATTTATCTATTTATGTGTGTGTTTGTGAGCTGCTTTGCTCTTGTCTTGCAGCATTGAAAAGGAGACTCGTGTTGCTCGAAGCCTCAACACAATCGAGGACATGCATTCCAGGCTGCAAAGCAACATGGAGGCCATCGGCATGCTAAATCAACAAGTAAGAGCGTGCGCACACCTACACAGGCACACATTCGGTCCTGACAGTCCTTTTTACCCGACAGATACAAAACACAAACCCACACACACCATCCCACCTGCTGTTGAGCTCACACAGAAGAGGAAGCTTTTATGCGTCCAACTTCAAACACACAATTGCACTTACACAGAGGCGCACGCAGACATCCATTTCCTCTTCCTACGATAAAAGTGAAAAGTCTGCAGCGGGTTGGGGGTGCGGTGGCGGCGGCGGGGGGAGGGGGGGGGGGGGGGACAAATCGTATCGGGAAACGGCAGTGACGTTTCTTTCCACTGGTAAATGATTTCCCTTTCATGAAACTCAGAGAAAGATGTATATCAATACAGCCTTGCTGATCTCTCCCTGACAGCGTAGGGAAATGGCCCGCTGTGATAAAACAATGTGGGGGGAAAAAAAAAACACAGAGGAATATTCTCAAGAAATACTGACTTTTTTTTTTTTTTTTTTTTTTACTGCGTTGAACTTCACAAGAGTCAACAAATCACCAAAGGAGGGAGGAATCAAAAGTACTCCTCAGCCCCCTCAGTTCTCCAAAAAAAACTCCCGGGCCAGGGGAACGGCTCACCTGACTTTACTTAGTTTGTGGAGTGGCCCGCTGATTGACGTGCTGCGAGCAAAGCTGGTTTTTTGTTGAAGTTTTAATGTTGACATGAGTTGTGGGTTTGAGACAGTAGTCTGGAGCAGAGGAAGCGACAGGCGGAGAAAGGGGGGGGTTTGCCGTTTAACAGGTCAGGTGCGGAATGGCTCTTCTTCGTCTCCACCGGGAATCATTTTACACATTGATCCAACATGGAAAATCTCCTCACACGCCAATGTGGACCCAAACACTTCACTGTCCAAAGTCGCATACTGAGATGCAGATTGCACTTCAGAAGACGCGTTCGGTTGGTTTATCTGTGTGCAAGGTTTTTTTTTCAGACCATTTTGGTGTCTCTTTGCATCAGTTTTGCGTACTTTATGTTTTATGTACCAACGGGCCTTCGCTCGCGCCACGGAGCGCAGATCCCTGATTACCACTTGACTGTCGCACTAATTTCACGCAAACTTTTGAAACGTCGCCCAAAATGAACCGAGATGAAGGTGAGCATCAGATGGACGGAAAAAAAAGGGGGCGCTTTCAAAAGTTAATTAGCGTGAGATTATTTTTCTCCGGGAAATGTCCAGAATGTCTGCCGATGAGAAAACAGGAATTACATAACATCATCACGGTTGGCTGAAATGAATTCATTTGACACTACTTTTGATGTTATAGAGAATCTCCTTTTCTTAACCGATGCTTCAGTACTCCCATGCAGAAGTCTTAAAAACCACAGCCCCCACCTGCTATGTCTTCCTGTGTGTCTTTCCCTGAGCCCCAATTATACGCATCCTCATATCCTTTTCATCCAAACATTTGCGCACCAGTTCACCCATAGTATGCGAAGGTTGAGGAGACAAGCTGTGATTTTTAATTTCACCCCCCCCTCCTTTGCAATTAGAAAAGTATCCAGAGCCACCAAAGATGGGGGGAAATTAAACAGGTCCCTTTGAATATGCAGTTAATTATAAATGTCAACCTCTGTGTTTCTCATCTCGAAGTTCTATTGCTTTTGGCGTAACGTAAAATTAACCCACTCTGGGATATTTGCATGCGGATGACAGTAAATACTCCTTAAGCGACTTACACCGGTTTTGACACGTCAACATGTTTTTCTTGCTCGCCAAGGGTTAAGCCCAAAACCCAGCTATTTCTGTCATCAGATGTAATACATTTGCTCAGATTTATTGTGCGTGTTATGTGTCTCTGTCTGTATGTGGAGTGTCTGGATGGGGAATGTTAGCGGAAGCATCCGGAAATGTGTCTGTCTCATCTCCGTTTGTGTTTTTCTCTCTCTCTCCCTCCCTCTCCCATGCACACACACACACACACACACACACACACACACACACACACACACAC